ATATTCTTCAATTGTTTTTAAAAGATAATGTCAAAAAACGTAAGTATTTATTTGCAAATAATTTAAGACATAAGATTCACATATTTATGCAACAGTAATTTATAGTTTCGATTTTCTAATATCTATAAAAATTACTTATAAAATCACGATTTATTACTCTTAGCTTAAGATTATTTTATCTTAGTAACCAAAATGGTATAAGAGGAATTAAATTGATAAAATCGATTAAAGAGGAGCTTTAGAAATAACTATTCCTGTAATCAGTGCTCTATTCAAAACATCCTTTCGTGATAAAACATTTTGTCACAATAAACAGCAATTACTTTAAATTTAGAATATAATTATTATTAATCTGGACAAATTATGAACTGCTAAATTTCAAAACAAAATTATATTTACTTTTGAATCAGCCCAAAACAATAAATAAAATATGCAGTTTTTTGTGTACAAATATGGTATGTGGACAGATATGTGTAATCACTGACTCGGATGTTTTTATAAAGAAGAATAAGTGAATAGTGTTCTTAATAAGCGCCACCGAATATATTTATGCCAATTTTGGCACACAAATAAATAAATAAGTAATTAAAAAATAAAAATCCTGCACCATGAATAATCATTTCGTTGGACAATATTTCTGTTAAAACAGCCAACCAACTTTATTCTTTAAGTTTGTCGAGTCACCAATTCCAAGCGCATTTGAATTGCACATCTCGAAAGCGAATCGGAGTGGTTGGAGCTCTACTGTCGATTTTTTTTAAATCACTCGTTTCACTCACATTAAGTCGTGTTTATTGTTTTACTTAGCACTAATATGTTACGCCTGATGCTTTTTTTATATTCAACAACACGTTTTATTATAAAAAAAGTCCGTAATAAATTATATTATGGATGTCCTTTAGTCTGTGGTTCATAAACTCTCTGTGTACAAGATATCTCGAGATTTACTTAACAAAACGACCCAATTGTTTCACTGTCTTCAGAATCATGTAGAGTTGATTTCTTTCGATAATCACTTCTATAATCGATTTAAAATATTACATGAGCGATTGGGGTTTGCACTTTTGGATTTTCGAAATTTTTTGATTCATCAGTTCAAATCACCTGTAACATTTTTAATGCTCACAAGAATCTAGCTAAATATTACCTACGGTGACACAAATATATTTAACATTATCACAATCATCATTATCAGAAATACATCCTATAAAAGTCCATTGCTGAACATAAGCATCACCCATAGATCGCCTCACAGGGAGAATATCTGCAACAGTTACCACAATTTGCAGCCGAGTTTTCAACTGCAGTATTTTTATTGTTTAGAGTTATTATCAAAAGACTGCTGCCCATCTTCTGTTTCGATTTCCCTTTGTATCCTACGGGATAATATGGGTAGTCAATTCTCTTGCACCAATACGGCACGGCGTTTAAATAAAATAATGAACTTTTATTTAACAACTAAATTTAAACAAAGTGATGCCTTAACTTCAAAACATAATCCAAATGTTATACTAAAACTGTACGACTTACTTTTTACACTGTAAATACATAGCATACGAGTATATACATTTTTTTACATAGATGTGACAAATGAGCTGATTCACCTGATAGTAAGTGGGCGCTGTGAGCCATAAGCACTACCGTTCATCCTCGATTAAGAAATAAGGACGAAAAAGCAAATTTTCTAAATAACAATTGAGCATCTCTGACTGCTGAGATGGAATGCTTCGTTACCAGTAAAAAGATATATTTCTTTATAGCATACGACACTCAGCAAACGTATGGCATTGTAAGATATAATACGCCGCAGTGTAGTTTTACTACGTTGTAATAAATAGCATTTATTTCCAAAAATCCATCGAAATTCAACTATCATTGCGACAGCTTTATAAGTGATGATATAAATGTTAAATATAAACAGTCAAACAATAATTTTCATGCTATAAAATGTTTTAAATTATTAGATTAGAATTTTTTAAAAACTATGACATGTAGTGGCGGTGTAAGAATATCCACTACCCCATACTATCCCGTGGGTGTCGTGAGAGGCGACAGAGGGAAACAAATCTGGAAATGGACAGCAGCGTCTTCCTGATAACGACTAAAAATAAAAAACCTGCGGTTGCCAACCCGCTTGCCAAGCGCGGCAAATACGACAAACATCCACTCTATGAGGCAATCTATGGGGTAGGCCTATGTTCAGCAGTGGACTTTAATAGGCTGTAACGATAACGGTAATTTAAAAATTAACTAACTGAGCCATCCTGATAACGCTATAGATAACCACAATGAAACATTAGTAGATTTTAACGCGCGTGTCAATTGTATAGTGCGGTTTCACAAGCGAGCTTACAAAATAGCGAACGGCGCTATTGTTACAGGGATCCTTGCAACTGCTGAGAACATGTTGTGACATCACTTGCTTAATATAAATGTTGTTTATAAAAATATACCTGGTTCACGTTGTCTACCAACATTATATTACAATGAGTTCAATGCCAAAAATCGATCGTTGACTAGGCAACTCTGATATGGCACTATATTTCTTGTTAGGCACAAGAAATATAGTGCATTATCAGTCGTCTAGTGTATAAAACTTGCTGCTAATTGACGGCTCCGTGGCGCAGTGGCTTAACAATGAGTTGTTGCGCTGTGGGCCGCGGGTTCGAATCCCGCACGGAACCAGTATTTGTATCGCCTACAAATAATTGTTCCGTGTCTGGATGTTTGTCCTCGTGCAATGTATGTTTGTAAACTGCCTCCACGATATAGGAGCATAATCCTAGTTGGTGTTAACACGTTTTTTAAAGAAGAGAAAAGAGAAAAGGAAACAAATATAACATTTTTGATTGATTCCGTATTTAATATTTATATATTAACCAGACTACTATTCTCATGCTTTTGGTTTGAGAAGTATGAGGCATACATTGTATTTTAGTACACGTAAAAGATATACTATGGTTGTAACACTAACGGGTCGGCTCGATCGGGGAAGGACAACACTCTCACAGAATAACAGCGTAAAATAGGAGGTTAATGCTGCTGTGTTGCGTATTGTGAGAACCGGAGACCATTATTACTGGTAACGAAGAATTCGAACTTAGCTCTCGGGAGTAACAACGTACTTAAATTTTGATATTTAATTGAAGACAAATGAAGGTATCTACATACGGGCTAGAGCATCCACTTACCATCAGGTGGACTCAGTGCAAGTTTCACCCTTATTCTATTTTCTTTCTTTTTCGAAACGTTACCTCCACACTAGGATTTTCTCCTGTATTGTGGGGGCAGTTTAAATACATAAATTTCACAAGGACAAACATCCAGACCCGGAACAACTATTTGTAAGCCATACAAATACTTGTTCCGTGCGGGATCGAACCCGCGGCCCTTAGCGTTGTAACTCATTTTGTTAAGCCACTGCGCCACGGAGCCGTCATCTATAAACAGTTAGTTGCTATGTTTCCATATGAAGCAGTAGCCACTCAATAGTATAGTAATAGAGGGTTACATATACGAATTGAAGACGCGGTCAGTATGCTACGGTAGTTTTTTTATAGAAGTAAGGAAGGTTACCGAGCATACAGTCCACTCAATGGTAAGTGGATGCTGGGGCTTTAAGCATATATCTATTCTCGATTACGAATCAAAATGAATTGCATACCCGTGAGAATCAAGATGGAATGTCTCGTTTCCGGTAAAAAGGGTCTCCGGTTCTCTACACTCACCATAAAAAATACAGTAGCATTAAGCTGTTATTTTACGCTGGAATTCTGTGAGAGTAAGGGTCTTTTTAAATTATTTTTTGAAATCGTTACGTCCACGCTAGGATTTCTCCTGTATGGTGAAGCAGTTTACATACATAAATTTACGAAGGACAAAAATCCAGACGCGAAATAATAATTTATAGATCATAGAAATAATTGGGATTGGAACCTGTGGCGCTCGGTGCGCAAGTCCTTGCAAAGCCACTGCGCCACGGAGCCGTCACTTGTCGACAATTTGTAGGAGGACCGTCACGCGTCGTCACCTACGCAAACCGGGTCTAGCGTGGCCGCAGCAGCCACAGTTTTCTCAAATATTGGGCATTTGCTGTTATTAAATTCTTTACTTTACATTTTAGGTCGCATATTAAACTGTGGTTATAACATAAAATTTGAATTAAAACTATTCACAATAAAGATATGTGAAGTTTAACTCCGGTATTATACAGGGTTATTTTGCAATAACCGGACAAATTAGCAGAGAAGGTTCAGAATAAGTAATATTATAAGCAAATGGTAAAGAAAAATTAATTAAAAAAATCTCAACTAGTCTGTCCTTTTTATTAACTTTTAAATTCAAAATGCGTGGCAATAATTTTACTATTACTTATTTATGCTTATATGTATTTATTTTAATTGATTTTACTGCGCACGCACACATTTGTAAGGGGCAAAAGCGTTGTTGGCCATAAATTACATTCAATTTGGGATAATTTCAAACAAAAGTAGAAGCCTTGTTTACTCGTATTTTCAAAAACTGCAATAACGGTATATCATTAGTTATATAATATTTGAACTTAAATTTAAAATTTGGCTACTCTTTGAAAAATAACCCTGTATTTAAATCTGTTGTATTTCAATATAATTGCTAACTAATCTTGTGGTGTTTATTACCTTTTTAGGTTTCTCAACTTCTTGGGTTATGCACAAAAAACACTTCAACGTTTATTTTTTTGGTAAAATTCCCTTGTATTTCTCAACCTTGACGTTGACAGATAACTATCGGTTAAATGATGGAGCTATATTAGAAGATGTTCGCATATTTCCGCGAGACTTCTTTCTTACTCTTACATCTTTCTAGTTTAAACCTGAGACTAATTAACAACCTAATCATTAGCTTAAAATTACTTTTTATAATAAGCCAACCTATGAATAAACTGAACCAAAAACTTAGCGCAAACTCAACACATTTATTTTGCGTTTGGTGACTCGACTCCTTTATTCTCTTACGTATAACTAATCAGCTCTCTCAAGCAATTTTCTAACCAGCCGCCAGTCTTCCATAATATCAGCATCGGGGAGCATGTATACCACGTAAGGAGGTGACACGGCCACCTGTCTCCTGCGCCTCTTCCTGCCCCATTCTGCATCGCAGGACCAGAGGTCAACAGTATGACGTTCTTCCTCGATCTTCCGTATCTTCTCTAATATTTCTTCTTTTAGGTTCTCGTATGTTAGCCACTTCTCGCTCTGTCGACAATAGAGAATTAATTGTTAAAGTTATTAAAATAACAAAAAATAATAGAAATTATTAAAACAACAAAAGGAAGATATAGAGTATTATGTAGTCCACGATACAGGAGAAAATCCTAGTGTGGGGATGACGTTTTAAAAAAACACTAATAAAAAAAAGAAAATCAAAAAAAAATTTAATGTTTACTAAAAACTGTCAACCCGCTCGGGATTCCTCGGTCATCATCATCATTACAGCCCTTCACAAGTCCACTGCTGAACATAGGCCTCCCCCAAAGAATGCCACAAAACACGGTCCTGAGCCACCTGCATCCATCGACTTCCTGCATGTCTTACCAGGTCGTCACTCCATCTCGTGGGGGGACGCCCTACACTTCGCCTACCGGTACGAGGCTGCCACTCGAGAACCTTTCTTCCCCATCGGTTGTCGGTTCTTCGAGCTATATGGCGGGCCCACTGCCACTTCAGCTTACTAATCCGTTGGGCTATGTCGGTCACTCTGGTTCTACTGCGGATATCCTCATTCCTAAGTTTATCACGCAGAGAAACTCCGAGCATAGTCCTCTCCATAGCTCGCTGAGCGACCTTGAGCTTCCTCATACGGCCAGCAGTGAAGGACCACGTCTCAGTTCCGTAAGTCATCACTGGCAACACGCACTGGTTGTACAATTTCGTTTTAAGGTTTTGAGGTATGTCTGACGAGAAGATGTGTCGTAGCTTCCCGAACGCTGCCCAGCCGAGTTGAATCCGTCGATTGACCTCTCGGTCGAAGTTGGACTTACCTAGTCGGACTATTTGTCCCAGGTAAACATACTCGTCAACAACTTCGAGCTTAGTGCTCCCAACAACTACCGGCATAGGTGTGACATGGACATTAAACATGATCTTTGTTTTGTCCATGTTCATCTTAAGACCTATCCGTTGGGAAACACTATTGAGGTCATTGAGCATAGTGCTTAGGTCCTCCAGCGATTCTGCCATAAGGACTATATCGTCGGCAAATCGAAGGTGAGTGATGTACTCGCCATTGATGTTGATACCGTATCCTTTCCAGTCCAGAAGCTTGAAAACGTCTTCCAATGCAGCGGTGAAGAGTTTCGGGGATATGACGTCACCCTGTCTTACACCTCTCTGCAATTGGATAGGTTTCGTACTCTGGTTCTGTACTCGGATAGCCATCGTAGCCCTACTGTACAAGCACTTCAACACTTCGATATACCGACAGTCAACTTGGCACCGCTGAAGGGACTGCAGCACCGCCCAAATTTCGACGGAATCAAAGGCTTTCTCATAGTCCACATACGCCAGACATAGTGGCAAATTGTACTCTTCTGACTTCTGTACAACTTGCCGAAGGGTATGTATGTGGTCTATGGTGCTAAAGCCCTTTCGGAAACCGGCTTGTTCGGGAGGCTGGAAGTCGTCAAGTCTGCGCGCGAGACGATTCGTAATGACTCTCGAAAACAGCACGTAGACGCGGCTCAGAAGGGAAATCGGTCTGCAGTTCTTCAAGAGAGCGTTGTCACCTTTCTTGAAGAACAAGACCACCGCACTTCTGCTCCACGCCTCCGGTGTAATGCCACCATGGAGGACGGAATTAAAGAGCTTCTGAAGGACTTCAAGTATCGGTCTTCCACCCGCTTTCAGAAGCTCCGCTGTAATTCCATCCTCGCCTGGAGCCTTACCGTTTTTAAGGTGCTGGAGAGCCATCCTAATCTCGCTCAGACTGACATCCGGGATATCTTCGGAATAGTGTCGGATGAGACTCGCTCTTGGATCGTTACTCACACTTGCGTGTGGCTCCAACGATGATGTGTACAGCTGCCCATAGAACCTCTCAATCTCACTCAAAATCTCAGGTGTCCCGGAAACGATGCTGCCACATTCTGTCTTCAGCTTTGACAGTTGGCTCTTTCTGGCAGACAGATCTCTGGCAAAGACTTTGGAGCCTTGGTTCCGCTCGATCGCTTCTTCAATACGAGCTGTATTGAAGTTGCGTAAGTCCCGCCGCATGCATTTGGAGATCTGTCTGTTCAGATGCCTGTATGCTGTCAAGTCTGTTGAAGAATGTAGCTTCATCTCCCGTCTAACAGCCATGAGATTAAGAGTGTGATCGGAGAGTTTTTGTGTTCTTCTGCGGCGGGTCTTGCAGAACTTAGCTCCGACCGCATGGACAGTTTCCACGAGCTTGTCATTCATATCGTCCACTTCATTGCAGTCTTCCAGGCACTGAAAACGGTTTTGTAACTCGAGCTGAAAGGTTTCGGGACTTTGGAACAGAGCACGAGGGGGACGGAGCGTTGACTTCATTAGACGAGACCTCTCCAACTTAACGTTTAGGTTCAGTGTGCCTCTAACCATTCGGTGATCGCTACCAGTTTTCACCCTCGCGATCACGGAGACATCACTGAACAGTTGTCGTCTGGTCGTCATAATGAAGTCAATCTCATTTTTTGTGGAACCGTCGGGGCTCGACCAGGTCCACTTCCTGTGGGGCCGCTTCTGGAAGAAAGAGTTCATCATAAAGAGTCCCTCTTTCTCCATGAAGTCGGCCAGCTGCTGGCCCCTTGGGTTCCGTTGCCCTATTCCAAATTTCCCTACTTTCAGCTCACCGTTCTCTCTTGTGCCTAGTTTTGCATTGAAGTCTCCCATTAACACCGTATATTGGGTTTTGGAGGAATGCATGGCTCTAGAGATATGCTCATACATTTCCTCCACCTTTCCTTTCCACCCTTCCTTTGATTCCTCGGTAGTATCTATAAATGTGGTGTTATTGTGATTTAAGATAATAATCAAAGACCATTTATCAATATTTCATTTGCATAAAAGTTCCAAGTTTTTTACGATAAAATATGGCCTAGATCACCCGTGGTATTGCTCTCTATCTGTTCTTGAAGTTACAATACAATCGATGCAGCTATTTCGAAGGAAACTCCGGATTTAAAAAAATAGGTTCATGTCTTAATGACATGCAAATAACACTCTTAGCTAAATACAAGGCAGTTATTTCTATAATACTGATATATATACATATATAGATATAGATAATCGATAGTCTAATTCGGATATATCTTATATATTTTTCAATATACCGAGGTAAATACGGTTTTATTAAAAGACGAAAAGTGTTATTTTGTCGGAGATCACTCTTAATCTAATCAGCTTGTTAATAGTTGATCAATGTGACAGTTCGGTTAACTGTTTGGAGATTTGATTAACATTTTTTGAAACTGGGCGTGTGATTTTTTTTATATATATAATGTTAATTGCACATAGTGTATGACTGGCGGATTTAACGCCTTTAAATATTCTCTATCAGTCGACCACGAGTTAAGCAGAAAAAATTAAGCAGGTGCCATAACAACATGAAAATATTTATATACATAAATATAAATATAAAACTGTAAATATAAAAAGTTTGGAAAGAGGCGATTATAGTTCCTATTTACAAACACGGAAATGCCGCTTCCACGGAGAATTATCACCCGATATCAATACTTGCTGTGCTCGGAAAAGTATTTGAAACGCTTGTCTATCCAATATTATTTTGGTAAGCAAAACATTCTATAGCATTAGTCGGCATGGTGTTACGAAATCACGTCCTACTACAACCAACTTAACCTATTATACAGATTTTAGCAAAGCATTCGATACAATTGATTATAGTCTACTCTTACTCAAACTAGCTCGTTGTGGAATTGTGGGTAGTCTATTGTACTGGTGTTCCTGATATCTTGGTAATGGATTTTCAAGAATAGTGCTTAATGGATACAAATCTGACAGATTTTCTATGCTCTCTGGGGTTCCTCAAGGATCACACTTAGGTCCATTATTGTTCAATATCTTTATAAATGACATAGTTTCGTGTTTCCTTCACTCAAAAGTTTACCTATTCGCGGATGATTTAAAAGTCATGAAAGCCATAAAAAACTCACAAAGTCCTCTTCCAAGAAGATTTAAATCTGGTGTGATAACAACCACATGTAACTGAACGTCAAGAAACGCACACATGTCTGGTTTACGAGGAAAAAAACAAACTATTTTCCACCGTACCATATTAACAATAATAAATTGCAAAACACAAATCATCAATTGACCAAAAATTAGATCTTAACATTCACACCGAACACATTGTGTCTAAAAGTTTTAAAACACTAAAATTCAAAATGAATCTTTGAAAATAACACTATTTAACACTTTAATTAGAAATGGTCTAGAGTGCTGCAGTCCAGCGTGGAATCCCCACCACGAGGCTAACATAAAACTTATAGAATCGGTACATAACGCTTACTTTGGCATCTCAGTTACCTGTGCAAACTAGTTAAACGCCTACCATCCTACAAAAATCGACTAAATTCCTTTAAATTAAACGGCCTAAAAGAACGCTGGGATTTAATCGATCTTGTTTTTCTGTTTAAATTAGTCAATAGAAAAATCGATTGCCCAGAATTATTACAAAAAATTACATTAAATGCACCAACTAGAATACCTTCAAAATGTTCACCTTTCGTAACAAAATCAGCCAAGAGCAATTTAGGCCATAACTCAACCTTACACAGAATTCAAGGTCGATATAACTCCCTGTCCAAAGGAGCAGATATAGATTTTTTAATTTATTCAAAATATAAGAAACAAACTGATACATAAAGTGAAATTTTTATTAGCCCTACAGTAGAAACCACACACGGTTTAGTTGCTGTGACAATAATGGTACATTTATATACTTATTAACTAATCAGTTAATCACCAGGTATATAAAAAAACTAGTTGTAGACAAAAATTTTAAAAATTGTGTTTTTGTTATAAGTACCGTATATACTTTCATATGCATGTAGTAAAAAGCTGGTATTTTGACATTACAAACAGACACATCAATTTTATTTATTTTTATAGAAATGTAAATTTGAGATAAATCAGGTATAAACATACCAGATCATGCAATTTATAGTAATTATGTTATCATCTAATATACCATTAATATATTATATATATTTTTTATAGGATAGGGTGACAAACGAGCACAGAGTCCACCTGATGGTAAGTGGTTGCTGTGACCCATAGACATCCACAATTATCCTCAATAAAGAATCAAAATGCAGATGCGTCGTCACCCGTGAGGACTAAGATGGAATGCCTCTTTTCTAGTAAAATGGGTCTTCGGTTCTCTACACTCACCATACGAAATACAGCAGCGTTTTACGCTGGTATTCTGTGAGAGCGTGGTCCTTCCCCGGTCGAGTCGACCCATTCGTGCTACAACCATAATATAGCTGCAGCATGGCTCTACCACGTATAACAATTAAAATACATTATACTAACATATAATAATACAACATACACATAACATACCATGCCGACCATCTAGTTATTTGATTAGAAATTTTTTAGGTGTTCTTTTAGCCACTTTTACTTTATAATATTTTACTTTATTTAAAAAGTGAGTGGAAGTTCGATGAGTAAAGAGGGTAGCAGTATTTCCCATGTGCGCTTGCCATAAATATTTTTAAATACATAATAATACACACATTTTAAGCATAATTACATACCTCAACATATACCTATATCAACATATATAATTTATTATATCAACCCACACATAAGCAGAAACATTTAAGAACATTAGCCATTGGAAGAAGAAAGGTAAATGACTATTCTCTTAAAGGCTGCAATAGAAGTAGGTTTCCTAATATGTGGAGGTAATTTATTGCAAAGCCTTATGGCCTCAGCGGCAAAAGACTAAGACATAGATTTGGTATGGCGAGGAAATACATATAAGGTCGTGAGAAGAACCCAAATACTGAAACTTGCATTTCAGATATTCTGATGCATCTTTCAGAGATTATATAATTCTGATAAATATTCCCTGTTGGATAGGTCTTTTAGCTTTAATTTAAGTTTTGAAAGATATAAGAATATATGATCGTATATACGAAGATCGAAAATAAAACGGATGTAGTTATATAGCAGACGAGCTGTGGTACTTCAAGGGCTAAGCGCTCGCTGTAAATTCAATAGAACGCGAGCAATCCGGGTTCGATCCCCGCCGGCACCAATGAATTAGTATATTGCACTTTTAAGTGCTGATCTACCGCGTGCCCGGCGGCGAAAGAAAACATTGTGAGAAAATCTGCATGTCTGTGAATATTTCGAAGACATGTGAAATCTGCCAACACACTTGGGACAGCGCGGCGGACATTTCCTTGCCCTAAAACCCTCTCAGAAGTGAGAGAATACCTGTGCCTAGCAGTGCGACATACATAGGTTGTAACTTTAGTGTTATTGAACAGACGATCCAATTTGCACAGAAGTAATGGACTTACATGAGGGTAACACACAGCATAATCAATGATCGGTAAAATAAGTGTTAGCACCAACTTAGCCTTAGTCTAGGTTGCCTAGCCTTAGTTTAACTTAAATTAGAATCGATAATTAAACCAACGTCTTTAACTATATGACTAAGAGGAATGATTGATACGTGTTTTATATTTCATTAAATTTCTTATTTGTGTTTAGTTAGGATTTTTATTGGACTTTTGGATGTTCATTCACTGTTATTTTTGCTTATTCTTAAATTTAGTATGTGTACGCCTATTACTGGCAAATAAATGTATTTTCTTTCTTTATTGCTGCTCCGTAATGAGTTATTGAATGCTAAATCGTGAAGTCTACTCCGCCATTGGTAATTCATTAGGTTTGCCACATTAACAGCCAAACAGAGTTACCATAATCACATTGCATAAGTTATTTGCAAAGCTAAGCTTTCTCTTATCAAATAACGTTCGCAAGCAAACTAGTTCGTAATAGATAATGCGTAATTTGTTACATAAAACTGTTGCTAAAGAAGGTCGTGTTGCTGTTTACTTATCGCTTAACGTTTCTTCAAAAGATGTAAGAAAGAATGAAGAAAGAATCACAAATCAAATTTATGCTGCAAAAGTGAGTGACAGAGTAGGAATGGCACGTCCGAGAATAGAATAAAATAATTCTTATTCGATATAGATTACAAGAATACTACTTATTGAAAGTCATTGTTTACTTTACCGCTGGTTTGAAAAAGAACCTCTTCCTGGGAAGAACCAGCAAGAAACCCAGCGAGACTTTTAGATGAGATGAGATGAGCTGGACGTTTACTGTCAAATTGGCGATATATTGACGATGGTGCAACGATATATGTATTGACGATGGGTCAAAAAGAGTACCCTTAACGCGTGTATGTCTAAGGTACATGGACGTGAAAGAGGCGAATAAGGTGTGTCAGAATCGTATTAAATAGAAGTCCGTAGCCTCTGCTACCTCTCTGGATTACGTGCGTGAGTGTATATGTATGTATGAATGTTTCTTGACAATATAAATTATTTAAGACACGGTAAAACTTAATTATGACTTTGTACAGCACCGGTCTTAGTTATTTTGGAGCCCCGGGTAAGAATATTTGCCCCTCCACTCTCCCATTACTTAATAAGCTAAATAGTGCATGAATACAATCCCACTTGAGAAATAGTTTAATGCACATGGTGGTAATTTCTGTCGTGGTCTAAGATTATAAACCGGGTTAGCTATACTATGATCTGTGACATCAGAACGTCAAACAACTCAGTGCTCCTGACACGAAATACTTGAAATCACGAGATTTCAAAATAAGTATCGTTCGTGGCGCCCTCTTGGCACTGACGCCCCGGGCGACCGCCCGGGACACACCTTTCTAAATCCACCATTGACTATGTGTAACCTAATTGGACAAACATTGTCTCTGATGAGATTATATGAATGTGAAATAATATTTTAGATCAATGTTACGTTAGATTTACACTTTTTCGTCTCGCATATCTTACTACCAACAAAGTTTATTTGACGTATGCATTATATAAACCTGATAAATCGATTCGATAGATTGAGAAATTATATACGTTTTTCCAAAGAAAAACAAAATTCATATAATATTGGTAAAAGTAGTTAAGTAAATAAAGCATCTGTATCATTAATAAAAATTCATTTAATTTAAAAGTAATAAATTATTAACGGTATATTCTCAAAGAAAACTTAACAAAGGTAACCAATCCCCTAAAAGGTACTAAAATATCCATTGTCCCTAATAGAAAACATTCATGGATGCGTAACGCAGGTAGAGATAGACACAATACGTAATTTCTTTACAAAGATTTCGATGGTTTTGTTACAAATCATCGTTTCAATATTAAAATGTTTTAATATTGAAAAGATATAGAAAGAACATGTCTTCATTTTCTTGAATACTTTATATAAATATCGACTAAGGGTTTAAAATGATAAACACTTTGAAGAGGATATCTAGGCAACGTCGAGTCCATTACAAAGGTACGAGTATTTCTCTGTTTTCTACTTAGATAATGATACTAAAGCAAATCATATACATATACATACATAAACACTCACGCCTGTCACCCAGAGGGGTAGGCAGAGACTACGGACTTCCATTTGGCACGATCCTGACACACCTTTCTCGCCTCTTTTACATCCATATGTCTACGCATACATGCTCGTCGGTTATGGGTACTCCTAATCTGGCCCATTTTTAATGTATCGCCGATTTGGTCGATAAACCTTCGTCTAGGGCGTCCCTTCCCGACCCTGCCGTTCACTTCCGCAACATAAATTTGCTTTGTCACTCTTTCCTCGTTCATTCTTTCTACATGACCAAACCACCGAAGCATTCCTTTCTTAATCCTTGTCACAACGTCATCTTGCAAACCACACTTTTCTCTTATCACACTATTTCTCACCCTGTCATTCAGATTCAGCCCTAGCATACTCCTTAAGGAACGCATTTCTACAGCATTTATTCTACTCTCATGCTTCTTCTGCCAGACCCAACTTTCACTACCATACATTAAAGTAGGGACTAACACAGCATTATGAATTGCCATACGTGCCTTAGTTGACACATTCTGACTCCTCATAATAGCGTGTAGAGCCCCATTCACTCTATTTCCTGCGTTCACTCGTCGTTCTATATCCTTATCATATCTACCATCCCTGCTAAATAAACATCCCAAATATACAAACTCATCCACTTGCTCAATCAACTCCCCTTCTATTCTTATTTCACATAAAGTTTTACTTTCTTCTCTTTCAAAAACCATCACTTTCGTCTTACTTGCGTTCACTTTCATACCCCTTTCTTTCAATGACCAATTCATTAAAGTAACCATCATTTGCAACTCGGCCGCCGACGATGCAAATATGACTTGATCATCGGCGTACAAAAGGCATTTGACGGTTGACTCACCCATTCTCAACCCACATTCTTCAACTTTCATAGTTTGCAAACAACTGTCCATAAATAAGTTAAACAGCCACGGGGAAGCCACACATCCCTGTCTGACACCTTTATGAATGCCAAACCAGTCCGAGTAGACCCCGTTGATCCTGACACAAGCACTAGAGTCCCTATAAAGAGATCTTAATGCCTGTATCAAGCCAGCGCTCAACCCAAATGAGTTCAGTGTTTGCCATAACACATTCCTGTCCACTCTGTCATAAGCCTTTTCCAAGTCCATGAACGCACAAAAAACTTTCTGGTTTTTAGCCAAAAACTTCTCCGCTATCATGCGCATGGAAAAGACTTGATCCGTACACCCCATCCCCTTTCTAAATCCAGCTTGCACATCCCAAATTTTTCCATCAGTTTCTTCCATAACTCTTTCAATTAACACCTTAGCATACAGTTTACCCACAATGCTAAGCAAGCTGATACCACGGTAGTTTTTACAGTCCTGCTGCGACCCCTTTCCCTTATATATTGGAACTATAACGGCTTTGCACCAGTCTTCCGGTACCCGTTTCAGTTCCCAACATAAATTAAACAAGGTGTGCAGCAGGCCTGTAACCACACCCCCACCAGCCCTTAGCATTTCGAGTGATACTCTATCATATCCGGCTGCCTTACCTGCTTTCATGCTTTTCATTGCTTTCATTATTTCATCTACACTTATCTCCCTACCTCTCTCCACTTCTTCCGGAATTTCTATTTCACTTATACCAGACGACTCTTCACTCTTAAACACGCTTTCAAAGTATTCCTTCCATCTCTTTAAATTCGAAACTTCATCATTCAGCATGCAGCCATTCTCGTCTCGTATAGCATTTATTCTAGGCTGTTGTGAATTTCCCCTGGCAGTTCTTACGAGCTTCCAGAACATTTTAATATTTGCCTGGAAGTTATCAGATATCCTTCTATCATTCTTATCTATCCTTTCTTGCTTTTTCCTTTCAACAACTTCTTTTACTCTCTTATTTATACGTCTAAAGTCTGCCTTTTTTCTTTCAATCTCATCATTCATACCGCCAGAATTACCAGCTTTAGTTGCTAGTAAATCTAGCCATGCTCTCTTCTTTGCTTCAACTTCCATCCGTACCTCATCATCCCACCACAATGTATTACTTTTCCTTTCATTCGTTCTCTTACTTACACCGCATACTTCGGTGGCTGCATCCACCAAAACTTTCTTAATATTATTCCATACATTCTTCAATTCTAAATCATTCATACATAATTCATTCAACCCACTTATATTTTCCCTCAATCTGCATTTATACTTCTCTTTTACACCTTCATCTTGTAACCTCTCTATTCTTATACGCTGTAACGCAGTGGTAGACACCGATGTCCGATGCCGCCAACGTCTGAATAGACCATTAATTCGGCATAAGACCAAGTAATGATCCGTCCCTACGTTGGACCCCCGGTAAACCCTTGTATCTACCACTGCGCTCCTCATTCTTTCATCCACAATTATAAAATCTATCATGCTTCTATCATCCCCTCTTTCCCATGTATACATGTGAATCCTCTTATGGCGAAAGAAAGTGTTCGCCACAAAAAGATTCTTTTCCACACATACGGTGAGGAGGTCTTCACCATTCTCATTTATTCTTTCATCGCCAAACGTTCCTAATATCCTTTCATAACCAGACCTCTTCACCCCAACCCTTCCATTAAAATCTCCTAACATAATAATATTTTCATTTTCCTTACATTTCATCAACACCAGCCTTACCATGTCCCAAAACTGCTCTCGGATATAAGTGGGCTTAGACATATCTGGGGCGTACACCCCTAGCACAAACAACTTCTTTAAGCCCACTTTCATTCGTATCCACAGCAGCCTTGGGCTAACACATTCATACTCTTTCACACATTGACCCATTCTTTCTGAAAGGATGACACCGACTCCCTGGCATGCCCGCTCGGTCTCGTCTACTCCAGACCAGTAAGCGGTATACATGCCATGTGCAGTGACATCTCTTCCCTTTCGTTTCGTCTCGTTTACACATAACACATCTATTCCTCTATCATTCATCATTTCGCATACTTCATCCATCTTATCATTCATTGTTCCACATACATTCAGCGTGGCCAGACGGGCCTCCGCAATCCACTTTTCGCCCCCCCGGGAGACAGGACGTGACGGGTGGCGAACCTCGTCGCCGGTTTTTCTCCCGGAGATTCTTCGCACCCCTGCCCCATTAAAGGGGCGCCGGGAACTCGGGCAAATCATTTTATACAATACAATCTCAATAATATTCCTGTTTAGAATTTCCATAACTTTATTATTTTAAAAATTCTGTACAACCGACTTCAATATAAATTATTAAAACTAACTCAAAAGCTATTGGTCGGACCTTGATCAAATTTATATGGAACCACATGAGAAACATCAGCTTTCAAATTAAAAAAAATCATCGAAATAGGTTCACCCAAAAAAAAAGTTATGAGTCGAATTGAGAGTAGAAAATATTAACAAACCATTTTTGGAGGAGAAAACAGTGGAATAGGGGATTATGATTTCGTCAGGCCCGCTTACAATGGTAAAATTAAAAATTTTGTACAACTGACCTCAATATAAATAAAATGAGAATATCATCAATGTAGTGGAAGTCAATTAATATACATGCATTATTAGGAATAACTCAAAAGCTACTGGTCAGATCATGATCAAATTTATGTGACACCACATGAAAAGCACGAGCTTCCAAATAAAATCATCAAAATCGGTTCACGAAAAAAGTTCTGAGGTAACACACATAAAAATACAGTCGAATTGAGTACCTCCTCCTTTTTTGAAGTCGGTTAAAAAGCAGTGCCTGTTGTTTCGGCAGCATTTTTGTTCAACAGCATTTGCTGAGTGAGATCCGTTTGCCTAATACACCACAACACACATGATGAACGTATTTTAAATGCATTTTGTAAATATAAGTACTTTGTTATGTTATGTGTTCAAGTTAATTTTCTTATACCTACATTGATTGATTTTTTTTTAAATATTTAAAGGTTAGTGCCTAATGACGTAGTTGGCGTTGGAATAAATGTTATTTTCTTCCTTTCTGTTAATTTTTGATTTTGAATAATCTGTTCGAGCTGCAGTTATCGCTCTCGGTTGTCTAGCTCGTTCGGGCATAGCACGAAAGCACTAGATCATTAAGAGATTCTTAAAATTTCTTGCAGTCCGAATATACTTTTAATAATTTCATTAATTTCATATTTAATCCCCGACGAAAAAGGAGGTTGTTATATATTTAAATTTTTTTTATAGAAGAGGGGTCAAACGAGCATACGGCTCACCCGATGGTAAGTGATTACCGCCGCCCATGAACAACTGCAACATCAAGATAATTGGAGATGCTTTGCCGGCCTTTTAAAAAGGAGTACGCTCTTTCTTGTAAGTCCCTAAGTCCTATCAGTCCGGAAAAATCTCTGGTGGTAGTCGATTCCACAAGGAAGTTGTGCGAGGAAAAAAAACCTCTTTTAAATTGCAGAGTGCAGAGAGTGAGTTGTGTCGCGATCTGCGATGGTGGAATTGTGCAGCTGGAATTAGTCCGAACAATTCCTCAGAGCACTCTCCGTGGTAAATGCGATAAAATACGTAAAGAGATGCAACATCTCGTCAAGCCGATCGTAAAGAGTTCGGTCGCCGACGATTCGAACAGCTCTGCACTGCATGCGATCAAATGGAAGGAGCTGGCACTGGAGAGCCCCAGCCCTGAGATGGGAACAGTATTCCATGTGCGGCCGAACCTGCACCTTGTAAAGTTGCCGGCATCAAATGCTGTCCCGCTCTGATGAGCACGCCAAGCTTTTTAGAGGCCAATTTGGTCTTCTCTTTTCTCTACACTCACCATATGAATGGATAGGAAAAGCAACATTATTCTGCTGTTCTCCGCTGCTATCCTGTGAGAGTGTGGTCCCACTCCGGTGGAGCCAACCCATTAATGCTGAAGCTAGCATAGCTGCAGCATTAGAGTCACGGATGTATGGGAAAGCGTTCCCATGGCCCTAGCAATATGCGGCGAAGGTGGAACACCATGGAGTTTTAGTCGGTGCAGGTCCGACAAAACTCGTCGTGCCACTGTAATACGTAGGCATTTCCAAATGTAAAAAAAAAACTGCAGTATGGCCTCTACCACGTAAAATAAAAGTAAAACTTTAAAATTAATATCAGTGTTTATCCTACTATAATTAAGGGTAGCCAAATGACAGTATACGTGCATGAACTGTAATTTCTTCCATTAACTCAACATGTACTTGACGAGAGACCGCACGGAAGTTGCTGTTGAAATTGGATCCTTTTAAATTAAGCGAGGCGTTGTTTTTTGGCAGAAAGCCAATAGTGCAGTTGACGCTTGCGTTTATTTATTTCGCATGGCAACAGCAGATCACAAAAATTACATAATGAATACCCAAATAAAATAGGTCATGATGAGAGTGGCGTTGTTTATCACGTGAACAGGGTTCTAAAATATGAAGATGGTTCTAAAATATATTTTTTCTTTTATTTTTTTTAAAGTATAACCCACCACTAGAGATTTCTCTTCTATGGTAGAAGCATTGAACATACATAAATTGCGCATGGACAAACACACAAAAATGGGCACTGTTACAACCTCGAACAATCAGTTTTGAGGCACACAAATACTAGTTCCTTTCATTCATTACTCATTAATTGCAACTTATTTCAATTCCATAAACCACACTCAATATTTTCATCATCGATATCAGAATGATGCTGTTGTTTAAGTTTCCATCTGTCACCTCTTACGAGTTACTTACGAGTTTGGATTATCTTACGCTTCTGCTACACAGCATACTTGTTACTTGCAGACGTAATTCGCGGCCTGCAAACGCTGCAGTCAAAAACGCGAAGAATATATTTGACCTTATTACAAAACGTGGTTTACTGATAGTCTCGGGCTTGAAGTATGGTTTAAGAAGAGTTTGTGGCGTAGCAAAACAAAAACGCACTGAATGATTTCGTATATT